CATTCCTCACACACGTTAGGTTATCCCCCCATCTACGCATAGGCTTGGCATTGAAGCTCGTCAATCTTTTTGGCCAAAATTTTATATTCATATTCCATGCCTGTGTCATACGACCCTTTAATCTTCCTTGATTTCATCCCTATAATAATAGTGAATAATGAGCAGTTCATTTCAACCCTACTGATGGATGAACCAAGTTCCTCTGAAACGTTAGTATCCACCCAAAATACTACAATGGTGCCAGAGGCACAAAGCAGATCGTTCATCTTCATCTACTGTTGAAACTATGAATGGTGGAGCTATACCTCCACTCTCCCCTACAATTACATAACATGGTGCTTCCTTAATTGAGATCAGAGATAGCTTTATATTTCTACTGCATATTGATCACCCCTGCTCTTACTTTCTCCAAGGCAATGTTCTAGCTCTAACAACTCCGAGCCAATGAGGGGCATCACCAACTGGCCAGAAGCAGGTGAGCCAATGGGGAAGTTTAACTACACCATTCAGGGAACCACGGCCTACATTATTGGCTATAATAATCGCCAATGCACAGGTATCACATCTGCCATTACGTACTGTACTGGGCTGCCCAGAACCAATTGACATACGCGCCAACTAGAATTATTAAGCCAGATCAAGTCAGTGTTATTAACCCCCATTTTACTTTTAAGAATTGGAGTTTTTTTGGTATAATTTTCCTTTCTGGCCACACGCACATAGATAAGCAATCATGATAATTTATATGAAGAGAAAGGAGATGAAACTTATTTGCATGAAAAAGTACATGTGTGCGGACTTCGTTGCCTCTACATAGATTATGGTATAACTCTCGGTTATACTGATACCAGAGAAATATTAAAACATGCCCCTAGTACAAAGTACAATAATATGTGTGCCCTAATTACAGTCAAAAGACAGGAGCTCACTACTTTAATAGCTATCCACACCCATCTCCAGCTGCAAATGCTGAAAATATGTAATTTCATGTGGACCAATTTTTTATCACAGGATATAATAATGATATAAGAAACATAATTTCACTGGTTATATCACGAATATTTAAAAAAAAAAGTCTGTTAATAACTTTTTTCCCCTTTAAGAACTCAATGCAGTAAACATTACAAATGTTACCAGCATGAAGTGTAACTAATGACGCAGTTAAAATAGTATATGCTCAGGACAAGAAATTGCAAAGGCAAACTACAGGCCACAGAAAATACATCCATGATACACACAGCAATTAACCTTTTAAAACAAAGTTCTTATTGTATGTAGCACCTGAATTATCATCCAGAAACTCTGCATTTTGCCCATTGAGTATATTTAGGGGTTCTGTAGAATTGTTCCACCTAGGGAACTACTGCCTTATCATGTAGTGACCCGCAGGGCTCTGCTGGCAAGGTCACCCATGCCAGATAAAGTGTAGCCCTCATCCTCCAGCTTGGGTGTCGGGTATTGGGCTAATGACCCCACCCTGGAAAAATGTACTGTTATCAAACCAGGGAAAAGGCCAAGGCCCACACAGGGTTGTAGTACCAGTGGAGGAGGAGGAAGAGGAGGAGGAGGAAGAGGAGGAGGAGGAGGAGGAGGAGAAGAAGAAGAAGAAGAAGAAGAAGAAGAAGAAGAAGAAGAAGAAGAAGAAGAAGAAGAAGAAGAGGAGGAGGAGGAGGAGTACGGTTCTTACAATAAACAGCGACTACATCCCCAAACAGCACTGACCAGCTGATCTTTGTTATGGAGATTCTGTGTTCCCTGTCAGGTAGGAACGGAATTTTTAAATATATATAGGTCTTGAGGATGGCATATACGAGTACACGACAAAACATATCACCTGCTTTGTAAAAATATGTGTGATGGAGATATTTATATGTCTGTACTGATTTACGCAACATAATGTGCAACTCTGTGTCATCTTTATTGGGTGGTCAGCCATTTTCTCCCCCAGATTTTAAATATTAGTATTGTAATGTGTATAAAAGTATGGCAGTCTACACAACAATATTCTGTATTATAAACAAAGTATTGTCGCAACTGTCAATAAAATCAAATGTTGATACAATAGTGCCTACTTTATTTTTAAATACAGAATATTATTGTATAGACTGCCATATTTTTATACACATTATACACCTTAGACTTGAAAGGATTCTGACGATGGTGTACGCTGTACAGAACTATTATGCTTATTTTTTTACTCTATCCATCGTCTGGCATATATAAGAAAAAACCACAATGTTTCAGAGACTGGATCTGGCTCTGTCCTCAGGTGGATGGGGCAGGATAGACCTACTCAGTTGGGCCCGTTAAAAAGAGCTAGTCTCAATCACTGGACCTATGATTGAGACTAGTGAGTCTCCGAAACGTTGTGGTTTTTTGTCTTATATATGTCAGACGATGGATGGAGTCCAACATAAGCCTTATAGTTCTGTACATTATACACCCTATTTATAACACACAACAGGATGCATATTATTAAGATATTAGTATTGTTCATGTTATCTGATCATAAGGCATTCATATAATTTGGTCTTCCTTAATATTCTGATGAAACTCATAAGATTTGAAATGTTGTAGCGAGTAACTGCAGTGAAAGTCTTCATGGGCAGTGAGCCATGTCAAGTTAGAGTGAATCTTCAAGTTTCAGCAGCTGTCACCGACTTCTCATCAGGGACCACATCCATCCCTGATTATTGCAAAATTAATATATATGTGTCAAACTCGAATGAATTTTTAAGTTTCATATATATGGCTCACTTCAAAGAAGACTTTCACTGCAGTTACTCACTATAAAATTTCAAATCTTATGAGCTTCATCAGAATATTAAGGAAGACCAATTTATATGAATGCCTTAAGATCAGATAACATGAACAATACCAAAATATAAAATCAGGGGGGAAAATGACTGACCACGCAATAAAGATGACAAAGAGTTGCGCATCGTGTTGCATGAATCAGTAGACATATAAATATCTCCACATCACATGTTTTTACAAAGCAGGTGATACATACTGTCACATATACGCCATTTTCAAGACATCAACCATCTAAGCACATTTCACTTAAGACATATACACCTACTACATACATGATTTAGCTGAATGTATCCATTAGCATATTGGCACACTATGCTTTAAAGTAATTCCTATATATAAAATCATAAAAATTAACATTAAAATTGGTATACAATATTATTAGTAGATGTGTAAGTCACACAGTGTAGGGCACTGACTGAACTATTCACAAGACTACTTGTTTTTTTTTTTTATTAAATTCTGTATTGGTTGCTTTTTATTTAAGAGCTGATTATTTTTCAAGCTGGATCTTTAACATTGCCAGTGTCAAGAATATACGGTGTCAGTAGAAGTGATGATGCTGGTTGGATTCTATAAACACATGCCATGTGGTTCTTGGATAATGGTGTGTACTGGGAAACAGACTGATTTGTATGTATATATGTGTCTATGTACATAAAGTTTATGCATGTCTTCAGACACAGAGCCTGATGATAGCTAATACGTGTCAAAAATGTTTCCCATCTTTTAAAATCTGGGATGAGACCATCTGATGTGTAACGAAAATTTATATATCTGTACCCAAGAGAGACCTGAAAAGGAATTCTGATGAAAACAGAGAATGAAACTGATAGGTAGCCACTGACCACATTGCTGGTTGATTTTTGCATTATTTACTGGTATTAAAAGGTAAAGCTACAAGCTGTCAAGGCCCCCACTTTTTCTCTAGACAACTGGTTTGCAGATGGCAGTGAGGTTGTCAGCCTTATGCGCTGGCCACTTTTACCCCCCAGGAAGATTCCTGGTACTCATTTCTGTTAGAGGCTGACTGTGGTTGGAAAGATTAGGTCAATCGAAAAAAAAATCCACCTTATTGGGACTCAAACCCATGACCTTCCAGCTTGTAGCATAGTGCCTCAACCAACTGCACTACTGCTTGCACCATTTACTGGTATTTTATGAGACAATGGTGGCATTCAACATGAGATGTAAGGAGCCCTATCATAACTAGAGGCCTATGGCAATATGATATTGTTATACAAGATCTGGTGTTTGCATAGTAGTGAATATTAAGATCAGTCTTCTGTAATGTGACACCATGTAGTCCGGTAGACACATACCAACATTTTGGAAGAACTTATTAGCAGGTTCCTCTGAATGGCTGGCAACTGTCTAGCAAACTACATAGTTCAACATGCCAGAAAACCATAATCTTTGGGTACCACATCATTGTTTATTATGACACCAATGATGGTGTCATGATCATTGTATTTGCATTCCTGTAACCACCATTTTATCTTCATTATCACCATCTAAACATGGATCTCTTGTGGCATTCCAGCTCCTAAATCTCAAATGTCCTCCTCTAAACTGATTTTGTAAGAATTCTACAATAATGTCCATATTGTAAAAGGGAACAAATTAATTTAAATAACTTTCCAACAACTCTTTCATATTTTGTGACATTTAAGTAACAATTTGGCAGGTTCAGAACTTATATAAATTGTACTTTGTGCTGCTAACTACAAACTGTGTGTGATAACACTTATTTACTTTTTTAAGAGGGAAGAGATATGATAGTTGTCCTGTAGTATTACTGAAACATTGCACTGTTGGTACCAAGTCTTGTCTACGACAAGGAAGTGGCATTAGAAAATCTTTGTCATGTCAGTGTCTTTCTGTTTCACTATGTTCTCTTCAGAGAGAATGAACTAATCAATCTTTAAAAGCATTGTTCAGCTACACACAGTACAATGATGGGGTTCTATCCAGTATTGTATGCAAATAAGTACTGATACTGACATAAATGTTTTAACAGTACTCTTATGTCGTATAACAAAATGTCAATGCATTAAACAGAGGTTGGTCATCTTTAACCTCAAACGACAAACTTAAGACCATACTCATAATCTATAAACTAACGTTATTTATTTGTATAATACAACACTACGAAAGTAAAAATATCTTTTTTTTATCTCATTTACCTTGAACTTTATTGGCAATTAATCTGCAACACCAAACTGATACACTAAAGACTGTGGAGCATAAATATATTTACACTGTTCAGCACCCGATATCTTACACGAATAAAAGTATAAACATCTGGTTTATAAAAACATGAATAAAATAGCATGTATAATTTCGTTACCTATGAGTTTCTCTAAAGAGCCGGTATTTCTCTAAGGACAATTTTCTTCAAGGATAACGTGCTTCAACTTCACAGCTGTAAAAGGGGATAGACGTCATACTACATCCGCTTCACAACTGTATGAGAAATTCAAGCAGCAGAAATGCTGTATGAAAACATATGTACACCCACCTTAATACAACTGCAAAGGTTGAAGAATTCGTGAGGCTATTCTCTTTTTATTTAATGTTAGCCTGACACTTTCAATTCAGAAGCGAACAACAGACATCTCACAAAACTAAAAAACGTAATAAATGGCTAATCGCCGGTTTCCCAACGCGGTGGCAAGAGTTTGATTCCAAGTCAGGTCGTTTGGAATTTGTGGTGGACAAAGGGGCGCAGCAGCGAGTTTTACTCATAGTACTTCGGTTTCCCTTGTCAATTCTCATACCATGAACTGATCTTTTTTAGTTATCCTACTGCCGACTCTGTATAGCCGCGATACTTACAGCCTCGCTAAATAACCAAGTTTAAACAAATAAGAGGGCTGAGCAACCACTTCGGAGATGCGAAATTGAATGGGTTATAACAACTTTACCTTTCTCATCAATGTCTTCGAAAGAAGTTCCAGGGACAAGAATTCAGCAATTTAGTAATCTTTCTAGAGTATCAAAATTTGGCAATTTTCGGAAATGTAAAAATTTGAAATGTTCCGATAATTTAAAAAAAAATTGTAATTATCGAAACTTTTAAAAAATTGAGAATATTTGAGAAGTGACAAACTAGAAAATGTCGATAACTTCAAAAATTCGAAAAAAAAACAGAATTTTATATCAGGTCGTTCAGAAAACGTACGGCTGCGTATAAATATAAGAACTCAAAGACAAAGTTATGTTACGACAGTCGGCCAGTCTGTCTTGGTGTGAAGCCCCCATCTGGGTCACAAGACCAGACTTTTATTACTGTCAGACAGTTGCGGGTTTGTTGATGAGGGCCGTCCTTTCTGACGAGAGGATGGGTCTGTCGTTTAGAATTGCTGCTGGGGCTTGCCAGCGCAGTAATTCCCGGGTCCGAGTACCAAGGGACTCTTCACCACATTTTACTGTCTCAGATTCGAGACTTCCCAAGCCTGGAGGGTCAGGTCCCCGTATTTATATCCTCCAGGAACCAGGTGGCTCTGTTATACCCCCAGGCACTGGGTTTTCTAAAATATTTATTTTTTCCTTCAAGACATCTTTTAGTGGGTATACAAATGAATGCATACGTTAAAGTAGTACGTGTAAGACTTAAAGGCACGACACGTTTCAACCCTTATTGGGTCATCATCAGGTGTCGGTTTGTGTTAAGGCGCTGAACCTATGCCCAAAATGGATCCATATTATGGGTTGTCTACATTATATATGGTATCACACTTGTAGCAAGACATTCAGGGTTATGTACTACTTGAAAGACAACTAGGCGGAGACTGGGTGAAATTTTATGCGTCCACTTAAATGTCAAATTAGAATGAAAATTAAAATTAAAATGTCTCTATAGGTATATACTGCCGGTCACGGTAGCCGAGCGGTCTAAGGCATGCACTGTTTTCGCTCGCTCGGAAGCCGGGATCGTGGGTTCGAATCCCACTCAGGGCATGGATGTTTGTGCGCGTTTTTCTGTGTTTGTCTACAGGTAGAGGCCTTGCGACTAGCTGATCACTCGCCCAAGGAGTCCTACCGTATGTGTAAGATCTAGAAAAACCGAAGTGAACGGAAAAGTTCATGGAGGTAGGCCTAGGCCCACTGGGGCTGTAGTGCCAAGGGAAAATTAAAAAAAAAAGGTATATACTGTTTCTCAGCTACGCTGGTCGTCCCAGTTTAGTCATTATTAGGGGATTACGTATCTAATTATAAGAACGTTGCGCCTCGTTTGATCGGTTTGCAAGGTCGATGTGGTAGTGTTGTTACTGTGACCTCATCACTGTAGCCGAACCGTCTAAGGCATGCACTGTCTTCTCTCGCACGGATGCCGGGATCGTGGACTCGAATCCCACTCCGGACTTGTTTGTTCAGTGTTTGTGTATGTATATATGTGTGTGTGTGTGTGTGTGTGAGTGCACGCGTATTTGTGTGTTTGTGTACAGGCAGAGGCCTTGCGACGAGCTGACCACTCGCGCAAGTGGTCCTACAGAATGACTAAGATCTAGTAAACCGAAGTGAAACGGAGAGTTTCATGGAGGTAGGCCAAGGCCCAAATTGAGGTTGTAGCGCCAAAGGGGGAAAAAGGTAAACTGAAGAGCTATCCTTGTAACAGGCGGTGAAGGTCCATAGGATTATGAGACGTCGAGGTTTCCACATTTTGTCTAGACAATCGGTTCACAGATGGCGGTAAGATTGTCAGTCTTACGCGCCGGCCGACATACACCCCCAGGAAGATTCCTGGTACTCATTTCTGTTTCAGGATGAATCGACCCCAGGGCCATAGTGTGGCTGGAAGGATTAGCTAAATTGAAAAATTCCACTTCATCGGGACTCGAAACCGCGACCTTCCGGCTTGTAGCATAGTGCCTCAACCAACTATCAAATAGGACGTGAAAAAATTATAAAATTAACACTTAAATGAGACACCTGTGCAGTAGCTACATTGGAACTGAATTTTCTCACATAATCTGACGCAGTTGTATTCATTACCACGTTGACAGAAGCTCGCCACTGGTGCCTCAGACGAATGCTGTATTTGATATCATACAGTGTAACTAGCGACAGTGCCGTAAACATATGTACATTCTCTGTTGCACGCCCGGCTGCCCATAGGTTGCCGAAGGAAGACCTGCCCATGTCCTGTCATGTGCTAGAGATCTAAAACGGCGGCCGGGACACATTATAAAAATTACAGCAGTTTCGTGGTAATTTGGATATAGACCTGTAGTAAGTGGAGAGATATCCCCCGCCAGATAGCGCAGATAGCGGGTGGGTGCTTAGGCAGCACAGCCAAACAACAGTTGTTGTCTAAAACTTGGGGCTCATACTGTAAATGGGAAGGGGGGGGGGGCGAATACATTTTTTTTTGTAGAAAGAGTTTAATAAACAAGAGGTCGGAGATAAAATTAGCCTCATCACAACCGGGTACCGAAGACAATTTAAGAATAATTAAAATGTGGTGCAGAATTCCAGAATTATGAGAATTAAAAATACTAGCTTCTTTGATATTGCGCCGTGTAGTCTGGTAGATTTTGACCAAACGTTACTGAAGAATGTGCTGCTTTCATCTTCAGTGTGGTAAAGTGAACCAAGAGAAGTTCCATTTACCTCTTGCTTAAATTATCCTTCGAGGCAGTACCCTCTTCTGGAACTTCCACCGCTTCACGTCCTACAGAAGTATTCTTCTTGGCTTGGTAACCTCGGAGCGCAGGTTCTCTCGCTCGCAACCCCTGGGTCGTGGGTCAGGCTGTCGCCTGCGGCAGTAACATGTCGTTCCCAGAACAACACGAGCCAAAAGAAAATTTCAGTTTTAACTGTTTCTTGGAAAGAATAAACATAATCATATTATTTTATTGTTTTACTAAAGGGCGTAGTCTTAAGAGCATAGTATATCCGGACGGCCTGAAAGGCGGTTCCAGCGTTAAAAAAAGATGTTACGAGGTAGAATTGTTATTACTTTGCCTTTGCCTTTAAACAAATTATAACTGGAAAGACGGCGCCTGTCCGCGTCTTCCCCATTTTCTAGCCCAGGATAAAGTTGATGCTATTCCTGTAACAGGCCATGGAGGTCCATAGGGTTGCGCGACGTCGAGGCTCCTACATTTTCTATACAATCGGCTCACAGATGGCGGTGATGTGGTGAAACTTAAGCGCCGGCCTCCCTTTACCCCAAGGAAGATTCCTGGTACTCATTTCTGTTGGAGGTTGAGTCAATCTCAGAACTACGATGCAGCTGGAATATATATGTCAATTGAAAAATTAAATGACCTCAATGGTAATCGATCCCGTGACCTTCCGGCATGTAGCACAATGCCTCAACCAACTATGCTACCTCGTGACTTTTCTAGCCCTGGGTATGACATTCAAAATTTGTCACTGAATTTGGTATGCATTCCACAGTCTGAACTGTTCTCCATGACGAAAGCGGGCAGACTTATATTACTGAGGGACAGAAATAAATGTAAAATTTCGCAAATGCAGACAAGAGGCGCTTGCGCCGTTTTGGGCAATATGTCTGTGTTGCTTACCACTGCGCTAAAGTCGTATTTGATAGAGGTCAGTGTGATGATTAACCCACATTAACATAATCACCATATTTCCCTTCCTCCAATTTAAATCGTGTTTATATCCCTATGTTTTGAAAAGCCATAGAGGACTTCTTAAAATTGTGTTTTAATATGAACTAAACTTCGATACCCATATTATACACAAATTATTGTAAATTATAGTCCTGAGCTATCAAAGTTGTTAAAACCAAATTTAATTCATATTATCTTTTACGTATTATATGTAATTCATGCGCATAGGCTAGGCGGTGGGAGGAAATTGATGTCCCATTATTTGTTTAAGCACTTTCTTTAATGTGGCGGCAAGAAAGTCTTGCGGTGGAAAGGTCGCAAGAGCCATAAAGATCCTCGGAGTGAACATCGCGCGTAAAAAGAACACATGTTCACGAGTTTCCTGCATAGTTAATATAACGAAACCAATCCACAGCTCCCCTTCTCCTGGGTACACATGTACAGAGCATAACAGCAAAGTTCGAAACAGAATCATCAAGATCAGAGAGATCCTTTCGAAACAAGCAAAGAAAATAACGCAGAAAATACTCCCACATACACTGCTTTAATTGCGTATTCATATGCCGTACTTTATTAATGTGTCATATTTGTTGAAAGCAAAAACTGTGGACTCAGAGAAACAGCCGTGTCTAGTGAACATCTCTGAAACAACATTCGTTTCTAGGTCAGGGCTGTTAAACAAACAACGGAACAACGTCCGTTGTTAGGCAGCATTCTTAATAAGCAAATATACCAGAACGGCTT